TTAGGCCATCTTAGGTTTCTGCTTAACTTCAGCTAGTTTGGTTTACTTGACTTCAAGAATCCTGACCTTTAGCTTGTTTTTAGAGTTGATTAGTCAGTTTACACCTTACACCTTTGCACATCCTTGTTATTTCTTTTTTGTTGTCCTGAACTGACAGGATTACTATCCAACAAGGGCAGTGCTAAACTATAATTTCTAAACTATAACTGAGCCGTATTCTACCAGATAAGTTTACTGAAAAGCCCTGCACGGCCAGATTTTAAGAAGCCTCGCCAAAATATTTAATCACCTTCTCAAGATCAGCTGAGACTGAAGAACAGCTCACTTTGCCCTAACTACCCCAGTTTACCAGCTTTTCTCTTCATAAGTAAGTTGACTATCTGTTCCTGGCACTATAGTGGTCCTTTAAGGCATCGCACTTCCAGTGTCACTTTTGGACTATGTGAGATATTTTGGGCCATGAATGAGGAGAAGAGACTTTGCGTGGATTTCTGACTATCTATCTTTGCTTGTCTCTTTACCTTGAAGTATAAACTGAGAAATATAGAAATTAGACCTGCTAAAGTATAGGAACGATCATGGTAGGTCAGTACAAATTAAAAGTGCCCTCTTTTAAAGTACCGTATTTACTTAAATCTAATGAGAAATCTAATCTAATGTGTACTTCAATTTTTTAAACCTGGAAGCTAAAAAAAATGTTTTTGCTGGCAAAAGTAATGTACATTTATACAAGAAGATTCTACCATACAACATTGTGCTACAATGAAAATGTTTATTGCCATATATTATAGTAACATTGATGATATTTTAATTTTAGTGTTACATGTTAAGTCTATTATTTCTTAAGACCTCTTTCAGGAACAAAATTTGCTTGTTTGAATACACCGGAATGAAATTCGCCTGTGTGAATTCACCTGTTTGAATTCACCAGTTTTAATTTGCCTGTGTGAATTCGTCACAAAACGTAAATTTTTGTCTATCGAATCTAATGTGCATTCAAATTTTGGAAACTTTATTTCCCAAAAAAGGTGCCCATTATATTTGAGTACATACGGTAGCTGATGTTTTCTACCCTGTCATACGCCAGCATTTACACGGCCATTACATAACAAGTGACAATGTACGTGTCTTGGTACACACATCAAATGCAGAGCAGAAATTACTCATATACTTGCTGCTCTTGTCAAGCAGATGTGAATTATATTGCATTAGAAGAAAGGCCAGGAAATAACTTTCATTTCTGAAAGGTTACTGTGAATGTAGCTTCATTGCTATTAGAATTATAAGAAAACCTGCTCACCTCCACAATATATGCATTTTTTTGTACTTTCTATTCACATCTTGCCCTGCCTTAAAATGTCTTACTGAGTAATGGTTCTTATTTTCATAATTTCTCTGTTTAAATTACCTCCAGGTTTTAAGGATTTGAATTTTATTATTAGTCAACTGTTAATAATCTCTACTCCCTTATCAGTCGTTTCTTTAGGGAAGGGGGGGTATATTTTTACATTGGAATTTGGGATGGACACACAAAGCTGTATATGAATTGGTTCTGATGACAGGGTCCCAGTGTGAGGGATTATATCTAAAGATTTGACTTAAAGCACCTGTTTCCTGCTTTATAAGGTGGTCATTTGCAAGAAGCTGAATTAATAATAAATAATCCACTGACTATCAGTCAGTCTTTCCTCCTTTCTTTCATGTAGCTGCTGCTAAGCAACAAATAGTAAATATGTTCTAACGTTCTTAAACTGTATGAATGTTCATGCATTTGAAATACATAAGCATTTATCACCGTTGTTTCCAATTGCAGGGCATTATTACCATATTAAAATACCGCAGGTTTTAATAGTAATGACTGGAAGTGTTTGTATTTAAATATATACCTAGGTACAGGCAGACAAATCCTTACATTGAAATACAATGACTGGTGTATTGTAATGTGCATTAACCTGTGATAAACACTCGCAGCGCAGAATTCATTCATATACAGCCTAGCTTCTCCCTGCCGTGCAAATCTTCACAAATTAATCTCCAAGACTCCTCTGATATTTGGACTGAATTACAAGCTGTGGAGAGAGATAAAGAGAGAGAGAGAGAGAGAGAGAGGGAGAGACAGCCGCGTACAGATCTCCCCAAGCACTCAGTACTGTCAGACACCCATCCCAACAGCATGAATAATGCATAATCTCCTATTTAGCCTCGCAAAATATTGTCTTTTTCTTTGCTGGTAGAGCAGTGTATTCTACATCTCCCTCTATTCTCTTGTTTTGCGGTCTTTTCATTCTGTGTTTGTTTTGTATGTCATTTTACTGTTTCCTAGACTACACATCAGTTCATAATACATATCCTTGACCATTTCAGCCCCAGAATAATGAACCGTGAAATGCATTTCCTTATGGTATGTTATGTAATTTTGTGTTTACGCGTTTTATAACCGCTTTTGAATGTCATTGGTATATACCATGAATTTAAAATGTTGAATTTGTTTTTAATTTTTTTTTATGTATACACAGGGTATGTCCTTGATCCTTCATTTTTCTATACAATAGAATGTTTATTTTAAATGTAAAGCATGTATTTTCTACTAAATTAAAAGGTTAAGCCACATTCAAGGTTAGATTATACTAAACTGCTCAGAGCCCTTCAAACTGACCCAGGTCCATATTTAATAAGCGTGAAGCCCATGCCATTTTTAAAACCAAACAAGAGATGCCAGTAATAATCTGTTGATTGTCTTTTCATTCATTAAGTGTTCTTGCATAGCAAGACCACTTAATGTTATCTCACATATATATTATTAAGTGTTCTTGCAAGAACACTTATTGTTATCTCACATATATATTATTAAGTGTTCTTGCAAGAACATTTATTGTTATCTCACATATATATTATTAAGTGTTCTTGCATAGCAAGACCACTTATTGTTATCTCACATATATATTATTATTAAGTGTTCTTGCATAGCAAGACCACTTAATGTTATCTCACATATATATTATTATTATTAAGTGTTCTTGTATAGCAAGACCACTTAATGTTATCTCACATATATATTATTATTATTATTATTAAGTGTTCTTGCATAGCAAGACCACTTAATGTTATCTCACATATATATTATTATTAAGTGTTCTTGCATAGCAAGACCACTTAATGTTATCTCATATATATTATTATTAGTGTT